GCGGCGGAGGAGGGGCTCCTTGTGCGACGGCGGAATCGGCGGTGGCTCATACACGCGGGGTGTTGCCATGGCGATGGCGGCAGCGGCAGGCACGGGGGCGGCGGGCAGCACTGGCCTGAGGGAGTCGAGCGTTGCCACCGACTGAGTAGGCACACCAGACAGAGTCGACAGTGCTGACACAGCCGCGAGATGGTTGGGAGATGGATACGCGTACTGGTACTGTGGATACTGCTGCAGCTGCTGGTACTGCTGGTAGTATTCCGCGTAGTATCTGGGATAAAGGGAGGAGAGGAAACACACATGCACATCCACGCAGACAGGGAAAGAGACAGAAATCACACAGACATGCATATACAAACGTATTTATACACCATTAGATAGGGAGAGAAACACAAACACAGAAACACATTTACACGCAAACACACAAACACACATCACCACCACTGTAAATCGGTTCTAAAACAGCCAACATTTTGAAATTGACCAACTTTTGCTGTAATAATTTATTGTATCTCTTTTATTGCAATCAACTCACCTGGCTACAGCGTCATCCTCCTGTGCAACGGCTTCCTCTCGACCTGCAGGTGTAGGCAACAAGGCTCTGCGCTTGGCCCTCTGGTACATAAATGGTTTCATAATAGGGTCAGGCAGCAGTGGGGCAGATCTTCTTAGCGGACTCCGGTCCCTTTCTCCAGACTTTGAGCTCGCCTGTTGCTCTGCTAGCACTTGCTGGCCTTGTGCAAAGTAGTGCGCCCTTGCTGCTTCAAAGAAAGCTGCTGAGTCAGCTGCCCCAAGAGCCCCGTAAGCTGGGGTAGCGCTGTAGAGAGCCGGCGCTACTGTATAAGCTGGGTTAACAGCAGCTGCTGCTTCCATGCTGTGCGCTGCAGTTAGGAACACTGGATTTGCTAAAGCGTGCGTGTAAACTTGTGGACCGTATGCACCAGCAGCAGCTGCGGCGGCTGCAACTGCACCACTTGTCACTTGCCCATAGAGAGCTGGGTTAATGGAGCCATACATCTGTGCGGCAGCTGCAGCAGCACCAGAGTTGAGTGCCTGGTTTGCAACTGTCCCACTGTAGAGCTGATTGGAAACTGTTCCATACACTTGACTAGCTAGTGCTCCATACACAGCTGGAGCCACTGCAGTTCCTCCTTCTGCCCTTGCTCCAGCAGCTGTAAGTCCAGTCAAAGCAGCATACGTGGGGTCAAAAGTTGAGGTGTTGTATACGGAATTGTGGACACTCTGTTGAACCTGCAGTGGAAGGCCAGCCGCTGCAGCGGCGGCGGCGGCTAACACGGCCGCTTGGCTCTGGTACTGCTCCAGGGTGGGCTTACCAGCTGGGCATTCACCTGCATAATGGCCCTGTTTTCCACAGCTGACACATGGGATTTTCCCAGTTGGAGTCTGCTTACTTGGCTGAACTTTGGACAGCTCCACAGAGAGCGGTCG